GTGATAGTAAGCTTAGTCAGTGGTTTGATCCCCAAACATGTGAGGAGATTAAGGCTATGCCCCTTCCGAGGCAAAATATTGAGGATCGTTTAGTCTGGCATGCCACTGCGGATGGTGTATTCACTGTGAAATCAGCTTATCACTTTGCGGTCTGCCTTGATCAACAGAATGGCCAATGGCGGGCCCAGGCTAGCTGGATGGATAAGCCTAGTTGGATCCGGTTGTGGGATGCTAACATTCCTCTGAAGTTGAAGGTGTTTGTCTGACATATCTTTAATAGAATTCTCCGATGACTGAAGCGCTTATTGAGCGAAAGGTTGTGGTTCTTCCTTGTTGCCTTGTTTGCTGGGCTACTTCGGGGACAATGTAACATCTGTTCCTTGATTGTCCTCTGGCCAGGGCACTTTGGGCTCAATCTGGATTAGATTATCTTGGCGAAGGTTTGCCTCGTCATACGTTCCCTTTCTTCCTGAAAAAGTTATTGTCTATTATACACCAAACTTCGCAATTCATGGCGGTGGTTGCTGTCCTTTGGAGGATATGGAGATCTCGGAACTGGGTTGTCTTTGAAGGTAAACAATCTGGGATCCCCGCCTTAATGAGGCACTATAACAAGCATGTAGGGGAATGGCTCCGCTTGCCATGTGATCCTCAACCCCTCTCACTCTCTACTCGTATGACCCCTTCGGTGGTGTTGGATGGGTCTGGGGAGCCTGTGTGTCGGTGGGATGGGGAAGTTTGCAGTGGGTCTCACTCCGCAGGGGTGATAGTTATCCTAAATGAGGCGAGGGAGGTTCTTTGGGTTGTGGGGGTCCAGTTCCCTTTGATTGATGGTCCAATGGTGGTGTAGTTACTTGTCCTCCGCGAGGCTGTCCCTAGGTGTTTGGAGTAGGGCTTTTCGGTAATGCGATTTGAAGGTGATGCCAAGGTGGTCCTTGATAAAGTCCGTCGAGCCGATGTGCGGGATAGTCGTGTGGGGACTATTTTGGAGGAGATTGTGCAGTTTTTTGCGTTGAGCTCGGGCTTCAGTGTGCGATTTGTAGGTCGGGGGTAGCAATAGGGTAGCTCATTTGGTAGCTAGACATGCCCTGTCTTTGTTCCCGTCTACGTGTCGTTATTTTGATTTTCAGACCTGCCTGAATTCCAGGATGTAACTATCTATTCGTTCCAATCAATATACGATTATCTTTTGTCAAAAAAAAAACCAACAACTAATTTTTTTTATAACCTATCGATTGAAAAGTTAATGAATTACCCGTAGTACTACTGATCATAATTATCGAATAATTTTTTTTCTTATGTAAAGAACACATTTGCCTCTTCGTTGACAATTCTCTTTAACTCTAACTTTTATGTATATTAATTTATGGAATGTAAGATGCAAGCAAAAGTGTTTGTATGTTCAAACGGTAGGGAATTTTGCATTGATTATAAACTATTAACAATTATCGTCGATTGCAGACCTTAGCCTTTACTTCTCCTTCAATGCATCTCAACTCCTTTGAAAGAGCAAACTGTTCAATCTAGTAATGAACGACAACAATTGATGTGGTGAAGCTTCTAATAAATTAATTTATGGAAAATACTTGTATATTTTGATTTTATTGCATAGTTTGTATAAGCGGCTTAGGAAAGTTTAGTGGTCACTGATGGCTACACCTCCCGGGAATGGCCATTTTTATTTTGAATTTGTAGATCGTGAATTAATTGTGGAGTAGTATCGTCATTCTAGGTTACTTTTAACAATATAAGCTTAGGAAATTGTTTTTTTTAGATCCACTTTCATGACAATCTAATGAAAAAGAAGGTGGGACTTAGTGAAAAATTGCCAAATAGATCAGGCACTACAATAGGGAAATTAATGGTTCGGGAACAAGGTTGTCAACCCGCGGGTTGACCCGGACCTGGTCGAGCTAATGGATCAAGGGTTAATGGGTCAACCGTTTTAGTCCGGTTTGGCCCGGAAATATGGAAAAAGTCACTATATTGTACTTATCCTCATAAATTATATCAAATCTTATCTAACATATGAGTTATAACATATAATATTACACCAAAATAACATTTCGTATTTAGATCCAACATATAATGAAAATTCACACACACTTATATAACACAAATATTCAAATGTTCAGCTTAGGATTCCAAAGATTGAGTTGGCGAAAAGAAAAATCGGAAAATAGGCGCATTTCGCAAATCAAAGGAAAAAATGACACAATTTAACCTCCAACCCGGTACCTTATAGCGGTCGGCCCGGCGGGTGCGTGCGGCCCGTTTTTCTCATCGGGTCAGGGTCAAACTGGGTCGACCCGCGGGTTGACAACCTTGTTCGGGAATGCTATTATGTATGATACTCTGGAATGTTCGACTAAAATATTTTTTATTTAAAATTATATAACATAGTTTAATTTTATAGAAGATAATTAATTTATTTTTTCAGTGGAAAATAATTATTCAAATTAAGACAGATGAGATAAGGTTCATTAAAAATAATAGCGCATAATTATGCATTTTCAACTGTATACCTAATATAATTACCTAGATGGATACAGATAAACATAATATTATTATTCAAATTAAAAAAAAGTTATAGGTATAATATGCCCCTCTACTATGACGTTTTATCAAACATGCCTTTCTACTATTTTTTATATCAAACATGCCCATGTACTTTGTAAAAATGATCAAACATACCATTTTATTTAAAATTCCATCCAAAAAACGTTAACCAATGTCGAACTTTGGTTTGGGCGGCACAAATGTCTAAAATATTCCTAATAATTTCACTTTTATAATTTTTTTAGTTCTTTTGTATAGCCAAATAATTCGAATAATTTCACTTTGAATAAACCCAGAGAAATAAAACGGGAGACAAAACTGACATTTTCGCTCCCATTTGCCGATGTCGGTTCGTCTAAATCTCGGTTCAACCATGATTGGCGATTTTTTGAAAGGAATTTTAAAAAAAGGGCATGTTTGATAATTTTTTCAAAGTACAGGGACATGTTTGATATAAAAAATAATAGAGGGGCATGTTTGATAAAACGTCATAGTAGAGGGGCATATTATACCTATAAAAAAAATGATTCAATAAAACATAATTCAAATGATTATGTAGTCTGAATTATTCACCTAATCTCATTGCCTAGATGGACATAATAAAACACTGCGGCTAATAATGATATATAAATAAAAAACAATAACTTTTTTGTTGGAGTTTCGGATCCTTTTTTCTCTAATTAATTAGTTGGGTATTTTAAACGGGTCAAAAGACCAAATACTCCCTCCTTACTATGCGCAGGAGCTGTGAAAAAGTGAATGAGGTGGGTGCTTAAAGAGAACCTCTTTATAGAAATTGGAGGACTCAACTTTTTCTGACATGAGTTGTAAGTCATAACAAATAGGTCACATGAGGTTGTGGCCTGTGGGTTTAGGAGACCGAAGAATATTGTTAATTGAATACGTCCGATTTTAGTAGGTCAATATTGGTAACTTTATATATGATTTTTTTTTTCGTTGAATAACTTTATATATGATTTTAGGACAAGAAGGGTGGAGAATAATTTGGTTAAGGTCATACAGGTTGTGGTGAAGAATAAGTTATGTAAAATTCCGCATTTCAATGGTTGGCTCATGATTCATGGGCCATATGGATCACTAGCTCTTATACCTTTTCAGTTTTCTCTTCCTCTTCACTTTCTTCTTCTATCCTCCATCTTGGACCAGTGAAAGAGCCAACCCTACTAGGCTATGTCACGTAACACCAGGCTTGATTAAGCGCTAAGCAACGGAAGAACACCTCGCTTTGGGCGTTAGCGCTGGAAAAAGCATTGGGCGCGCTTAAGTGTGACTAGCAGCGACTAGGCGGCGTAGATGGTGATTAAGCGGCCGCCTATTCACGGTGAATTTAAGCTAGCCATTCCCCCCAATTATTGTCAACGCTGATGTTTTGAAATTCCCACCCTCATTATCTGCTAGCTAGGATTGTAAGGGGAATTAGAAATTGAAACCTGCAAAAAATCAAGAGTCTTTGTGCTCTTCCTCCATCGATGCTCTACATCTGAAACTCAGAAAACAAGAATTCTAAATCTTCTTTAGTTGGAGCTTTTTTCTTCTCTCTACCACCAATGGTCTATCTTCCTCCATCAATCGCTGTTGTTGATGAGTTGGGATGTGGGATGGTGGGAGGAGTTCACTGCTTGGTGGCTACCGCCGAGAGAGAAACGATTAGGAGCAGCTCGTTCTTCACTCGAGCATGTACAAGTGTTAAATTAACCGCACCATCTATAATTCATAAGTAAACATACTCTTTATGCACGAAATGCAATTTGAATACGAGTGGCAGCCAATTCTTCATTGCTGTGAAATTTTGCATAAGCAACCCAATCTTTCTTCTGCCGTAGATGTTCCCTTGTTTCTTTAATTGATGTAGAATTAAGCTAACTGAAACTGAAAGTTGAGTCTTCCAAAATTAAAGGCTTTATGATCATATGACTACTTTGTATCGTACCTTGGGTTAGTTAAGAAGTTTCAACTAGTTTCTAGGTGTTTCTAATTTTATATGAACCTGGTTAATATGAAGTTATTCTAGAAAATAGGAAATTGTGAGAATGTTTTCCATTTTTAGTGCGAACGCCTAGGTGCGCATAAGCTACACTTAATCGGATAAGGCACAAGTCAGGGGTTGAGCGCTCGCCTTACGTCTAGTGCATTTTTGAACCTTAACACGCCAAAAACTTGAGAAAACATTATTAACGACACATAGGTGTATATGTAGGATTCAAATACTAGACGTTTGTGTAATATGAGAAGTGTTATATATAGTAAATGAAATTTAGTTGGATCATTACTTAAGAATATAGGGAATGAATGTTTTCTATGATTCTTTCCGGATATAAAAACACGTCACATTTGTTTATACAAAAGAAAAATTGTATTAATAGGTTTTTTATTCTTTTATGAATTAATTATTTAATATTAATTATTTGAAATAGTTATCCATATGTTTATATCATATAACAAACACAAATATTTTAAATTTCTGGCTCCCCTGCTGCCTTGACACACCACATGGTTGTACAAATGCAATTCCAGAAGTTAAAGTGGCTATAAGTGACACAAAAGTGAAAGTTTTGGCTATACAAGTGTATTTTGCCTAAAATTTATTTATTTGATTCTCCTTTTTAAAGAAAATTAGTTGTACAATAATTGTCACCAAAGGTTATTATAGTCATTTTATAAGTTTGTTAACGGATGACTGACAGAAATGAGGATGTGAGGTTATATTTGTTTCGTTGCAATAATAGAGATGTTTGTTCAAAATAATAGTATAGGGATACTTTTGTTAATTTGGAATAGGAAAAGAGCATAAAATGCTATTATCCCTATGTTATTTTGTGGTCAAGATTGTCTACTTTTTTTATGCTTTTCGTATATTGTTAAGGCTACACAAGGTTAATATTTAGTATTTAATGTTATCTATACTCTCTTTAACTTGTCTATCTATATCTATCTATATCTATATCTATCTATACTATATATTAGAAGAACAACAACCTCGATAGAGACAACAATCCGCCAGGGAATTCAGCTCCTTTTTCTAATTTTCCGTTTAGATCATGTATCAATATCTCACGATATCATCCACCTCCTCTTCCCATTTCATCGAAACTCTCCTTGCCGGCTATTTCCCAAATCCGCTTCTTTTTCCAAAATCAGAAGAAGCTCCATCAAATTTGAATCGCTCGACTAACCCCACCCCGTCAATGATTCTTCAACGATGGATCCTTCTCCAAATTTAGAAGAACCTCTCTCAATTTCAACAACTTATTCGGCAGCCCTTTAGGAGTTTCCGATAGGGGTAGCCGTGACCTGAGAGTCGCCGGAAGCCCAATCTGATTCCATCAGGCGGCTGCTTTGCCAAAAGAGAATATTGAAGGGGTTATGGGGGAACTCAACGATTGGGGAAAATAATGAAGATAATATTTTAAAATTTAGGCAAAATACACTTGTGTAGTCAAAACTTTCACGTTTATGCCACTTATAGCCACTTTTGGGGAAATACCACTTATAACCACTTCTTAAAGATGTTGTGTGTCAAATATAGCCATTTCCGTTAGATACTTTAACGGTGTTATTAACACCGTCAACTTATTTCATGGTTTGGTGACTAGGCGAAAAATCAGCGGACACGTCAGCGCCAAATCAGCGGACAGTGACACGTCATATATTATAATTATTAATATTTAATTACTACATTAATTTATAAAAAACAAATAAAAAAAGAGATGAAAATCTCGTTTCTCTTAATTGCCTTCCATTCCTCTCCGTACACAACCGATTTATCCCAACTCCCCCCAAAAAAATCGGCTTTAGAATCCCCAATTCCAAAAACTAATTAATGAATCCCCCGCACCATGTAGGTCTCTTTGTTTTCTCACCAGAGACGGAGATGGCGAACTCGACGGCGGTGGCGATACACTCGCAGGGCAAAAAGAGAAACACTCCATCGTGCATCTCTCTCCCCCGATTGAATCAAATCTGGTGTCCGCGGATCTAGAAAGTCTGAAATTCCTTTTGACGGAGCAGAGGGGGAAGGCAACAGCTCCAGATCTCGCACAAATAGAGAGAAAAGAGTGCTTCAGATCCCGATGAACCACCTTCATCTTCTGGCTTCTGCTGCCGCTGCTAGTCGCTTCCCCACCATCGCCCCTTCGTCCGCGTCGCCCTCCGACGAATCACCTTCCTCAACTTCACCGGCCAGCGGAGATCCGGATCTGCAGACTCCATTTTCTTCAATGATGAATCAAAATCGGGGCTCGGAGGAGCGTATTCCTGATCAGTCGACGACATCAGCAGTGAAGAGCGTGAAGAATGATTCGAATAGGGAAAGAAGTCATGGCCACCAGATCTAGGATCTACTTCGTTCAATGTTGGAGCAACAGAGGAGCGGTGGAGGTCCTGCGGAGGAGGAAGGAGGAAGTTTGACAGTGGTGGAGAAGAAAAGGAGGATGAAGGAGGAAGTGGGATGGTCGTGGAAAAGAAAAGGAGGAAGGAAGGAGGAAGTTGGGTCGTGGAAAAGAGAAGGAGGAGGAAGGAGGTGGAGAAGAAAAGGAGGAGGAAGGAGGAAGTTGGACGGTGGTGGAGAAGAGAGAGGGAGATGTTGATTTGTCCAATCTTTTTTGTTTTTTTATTTATTTTTTGTTTTCCTCATTAAAGGTAATACTTTTCTATTTGACATGTTTTTTATATAAAATTGCCACATCAGCAAATTTGGCCAGTAATGCTCACCACGTCAGCATCTCTGTTTGTCCAGTCAGACTCTAACACTAACACCGTTAAAGAATTGGACGGAAGTGACTATAAGTGGTATTTCGCCAAAAGTGGCTATAAGTGACACAAACGTGAAAGTTTTGGCTATACAAGTGTATTTTGCCTAAAATTTATTTATTTGATTCTCCTTTTTAAAGAAAATTAGTTGTACAATAATTGTCACCAAAGGTTATTATAGTCATTTTATAAGTTTGTTAACGGATGACTGACAGAAATGAGGATGTGAGGTTATATTTGTTTCGCTGCAATAATAGAGATGTTTGTTCAAAATAATAGTATAGGGATACTTTTGTTAATTTGGAATAGGAAAAGAGCATAAAATGCTATTATCCCTATGTTATTTTGTGGTCAAGATTGTCTACTTTTTTTGTGCTTTTAGTATTTAATGTTATCTATACTCTCTTTAACTTGTCTATCTATCTATCTATCTATCTATATCTATCTATCTATCTATCTATACTATATATTATGGCAATTCAAAACCAATCTCTTGCCACATAAGCACTTGGATGATCCACAATTTGCCAAGTTAGACAATTTTTTTACAAACAAAAAAATTAGTTATTAAAGTATTTATGGAGCTACCTCTCTCTTCTTTAATATTTCCATTTCTTTTATCAAATTATTCCTTTTTATTTATCCATTTATTCTTTAATAATAAGTTATATGTTGATAAACTCAACCAAACACACATAAATAATAATTTTTTATCAAGTAAACAAAATATAAATAATATAACAGAGAGTGACATATATCACATTTGTTTAAATAAAAAATATCTGATTAAACTTTATGAAGTAAATTTTCTACTCATTTTTACTAAAATTGAAAGATAAGTTAAATTTTGCTGAAAAAATTAAACAAACATACACATAAACAATAATGTTTTTATCGATTAAACAAAATATATATGAAAATATAGAAAATAAACATTTGACATTCAATTACATTTGAAACTGGTGAAGGTATTTGTTTCTGTGGTTAAGTTACTGATAACAGTTATATATCATGTTTATTTTTACCTTAGTCATTTAAATTGTTTTTATTATTGTCTTAGGCTCTGGATCTGCAAACCGTGTCCCCACTGGAGGTGCAACTGGTTTGGTGCAGAGCCCTGTGCCTGATGTGGGCGATGCTGTGTCTGAAGAAAGTGTACCTCGTCCAGAGGGTGTGCAGCTGCCGGTTCCTGCACAGGATGTTATTCCGAATCCTGTTGGTAATCCAGAAGTTGTGCAGCTGCCGGTTAATGCACAGGATGCTATTCCGAATCCTGGAGGTCATCCAGAAGGTGTGCAACTGGCGGTTCCTATACAGGGTGTTATTCCGAATCCTCCATCTCCCGGATCCTCTTTTTCTGGCGATGGTAAGCAAACTTCTGGTGTTTATTTTACGGGTAATGAATACTTTTTGATAGGGGAATCTATTGGATTATCATTCATAATTTTCACATTTTTTTTTATGAAAGGCCAAGTTGTCCCCCGTAGCCCAAACTGAATTGTGGATTGACAGCAGCGACGGATGGGGAGGAAGATTCACTATGAACTACTTTTGCTATTATGGTAGTCAAGGTTGCCCATGTTTTTGGCAACGTCATGGTATTTTGTTAAGTAGTGTGTGGAGTATCTCGGAAACTTTAACATGGAGGTGTAGAAACATTGACTACTATTGTTATTCCGGTAGAAATGGTCTTCTCTATGTACTCGGCTATGTTTTGTACTACTCATTTCTTTTGAGTATCTTTCAAACTTTAACGTGGTGATGGTCAAGATTTTCTACTTTTTTGGTGCTTTTCGTATATTTTTAAGCATGCTCAGTGGGATAATTTTAATGTCATGGTGTCATGGAGATGGGCAAAGATTGATTATTACTCTATTATTGGGTTAATAGCATGCCCTCTATTATTGTGTTTTAACAAATGCAATCTTCCACTATTATTTTGCATTAACATACCACCCTGTTAATAATAACTTACCATTCTGTTAATACAACGTAACAAGATATCCTTCCATCTCTAGTTTCTGTCATGACATTTGTAGGATCACTGTAGTATTATTTATTGTCAATTATTGTACAGCAAATTAAATCAAATATAATTTAGATTATTATCTCCTTATATTTCCTTTCACATTCTGCCATCCATATCGAGAAATACCCCAGCAACCACTCGCCGCCGTCACTTGGGGGAATGAGGTTGGGATTGGGGCTGCTGTTCCAGCTACCCCAACCATAGCCGGATGCATCCCGCTACCCTCTTTGCCTCTGTTGCCCCAAGAGCGGCGACCTCCACTATCATCAACAAAACCCAACCTCCTCCGCCGCTTCTCGATCGAAACCCTAGAACAGCAACCTCGATAGAGACAACAATCCGCCAGGGAATTCAGCTCTTTTTTCTAATTTTCCGTTTAGATCATGTATCAATATCTCACGATATCATCCACCTCCTCTTCCCATTTCATCGAAACTCTCCTTGCCGGCTATTTCTCAAATCCGCTTCTTTTTCCAAAATCAGAAGAACCTAGGGGTGGCTATACGGTCCGGTCCGGTTAAATTGGACCAAATTGATCCGGTCCAGTCCGGTTTTTATGAAAATGTAAGGACCGAAGATTGGATTGGATACAGTCCGGATTGGATACAGTCCGGTCTTGACCCGGTCCGGTCTCAATTCGGTCTTGATTTTATATTGAGATTGTGAGAATTTGAGTGGCCTAAGGCCTAAAAGGGTGAGGACTTGGTTAAGTTTTGTACTAAGTGCAAAGGTTTGTGACCGTTTATGCAAATTACCCTTAAGTTTTGGGTGTTGAGTGTGCAGCTGCCGGATCCTGCACAGGATGTTATTCCGAATCCTGTTGGTAATCCAGAAGTTGTGCAGCTGCCGGTTAATGCACAGGATGCTATTCCGAATCCTGGAGGTCATCCAGAAGGTGTGCAACTGGCGGTTACTATACAGGGTGTTATTCTGAATCCTCCATCTCCCGGATCCTCTTTTTCTGGCGATGGTGCTTTTCGTATATTGTTAAGGCTACACAAGGTTAATATTTAGTATTTAATGTTATCTATACTCTCTTTAACTTGTCTATCTATATCTATCTATCTATACTATATATTATGGCAATTCAAAACCAATTTCTTGCCACATAAGCACTTAGATTATCCACAATTTGCCAAGTTAGACAATTTTTTTACAAACAAAAAAATTAGTTATTAAAGTATTTATGGAGCTACCTCTCCCTTCTTTAACATTTCCATTTCTTTTATCAAATTTTTTTTTTATTTATCCGTTTATTCTTTAATAATAAGTTATATGTTGATAAACTCAACCAAACACACATAAATAATAATTTTTTATCAAGTAAACAAAATATAAATAATATAACAGAGAGTGACATATTTAACATTTGTTTAAATAAAAAATATCTGATTAAACTTTATGAAGTAAATTTCCTACTCACTTTTACTAAAATTGAAAGATAAGTTAAATTTTGCTGAAAAAATTAAACAAACATACACATAAACAATAATGTTTTTATCGATTAAACAAAATATATATGAAAATATAGAAAATAAACATTTGACATTCAATTACCTTTGAAACTGGTGAAGGTATTTGTTTCTGTGGTTAAGTTACTGATAACACTTATATATCATGTTTGTTTTTACCTTAGTCATTTAAATTGTTGTTATTATTGTCTTAGGCTCTGGATCTGCAAACCGTGTCCCCACTGGAGGTGCAACTGGTTTGGTGCAGAGCCCTGTGCCTGATGTGGGCGATGCTGTGTCTGAAGAAAGTGTACCTCGTCCAGAGGGTGTGCAGCTGCTGGATCCTGCACAGGATGTTATTCCGAATCCTGTTGGTAATCCAGAAGTTGTGCAGCTGCCGGTTAATGCACAGGATGCTATTCCGAATCCTGGAGGTCATCCAGAAGGTGTGCAACTGGCGGTTCCTATACAGGGTGTTATTCTGAATCCTCCATCTCCCGGATCCTCTTTTTCTGGCGATGGTGCTTTTCGTATATTGTTAAGGCTACACAAGGTTAATATTTAGTATTTAATGTTATCTATACTCTCTTTAACTTGTCTATCTATATCTATCTATATCTATATATTATGGCAATTCAAAACCAATCTCTTGCCACATAAGCACTTAGATTATCCAAAATTTGCCAAGTTAGACAATTTTTTTACAAACAAAAAAATTAGTTATTAAAGTATTTATGGAGCTACCTCTCCCTTCTTTAACATTTCCATTTCTTTTATCAAATTATTTCTTTTTATTTATCCGTTTATTCTTTAATAATAAGTTATATGTTGATAAACTCAACCAAACACACATAAATAATAATTTTTTATCAAGTAAACAAAATATAAATAATATAACAGAGAGACATATATAACATTTGTTTAAATAAAAAATATCTGATTAAACTTTATGAAGTAACTTTCCTACTCACTTTTACTAAAATTGAAAGATAAGTTAAATTTTGCTGAAAAAATTAAACAAACATACACATAAACAATAATGTTTTTATCGATTAAAAAAAAAATATATGAAAATATAGAAAATAAACATTTGACATTCAATTACCTTTGAAACTGGTGAAGGTATTTGTTTCTGTGGTTAAGTTACTGATAACACTTATATATCATGTTTGTTTTTACCTTAGTCATTTAAATTGTTGTTATTATTGTCTTAGGCTCTGGATCTGCAAACCGTGTCCCCACTGGAGGTGCAACTGGTTTGGTGCAGAGCCCTGTGCTTGATGTGGGCGATGCTGTGTCTGAAGAAAGTGTACCTCGTCCAGAGGGTGTGCAGCTGCTGGATCCTGCACAGGATGTTATTCCGAATCCTGTTGGTAATCCAGAAGTTGTGCAGCTGCCGGTTAATGCACAGGATGCTATTCCGAATCTTAGAGGTCATCCAGAAGGTGTGCAACTGGCGGTTCCTATACAGGGTGTTATTCTGAATCCTCCATCTCCCGGATCCTCTTTTTCTGGCGATGGTGCTTTTCGTATATTGTTAAGGCTACACAAGGTTAATATTTAGTATTTAATGTTATCTATACTCTCTTTAACTTGTCTATCTATATCTATCTATATCTATATCTATATATTATGGCAATTCAAAACCAATCTCTTGCCACATAAGCACTTAGATTATCCAAAATTTGCCAAGTTAGACAATTTTTTTACAAACAAAAAAATTAGTTATTAAAGTATTTATGGAGCTACCTCTCCCTTCTTTAACATTTCCATTTCTTTTATCAAATTATTTCTTTTTATTTATCCGTTTATTATTTAATAATAAGTTATATGTTGATAAACTCAACCAAACACACATAAATAATAATTTTTTATCAAGTAAACAAAATATAAATAATATAACAGAGAGACATATATAACATTTGTTTAAATAAAAAATATCTGATTAAACTTTATGAAGTAACTTTCCTACTCACTTTTACTAAAATTGAAAGATAAGTTAAATTTTGCTGAAAAAATTAAACAAACATACACATAAACAATAATGTTTTTATCGATTAAAAAAAATATATATGAAAATATAGAAAATAAACATTTGACATTCAATTACCTTTGAAACTGGTGAAGGTATTTGTTTCTGTGGTTAAGTTACTGATAACACTTATATATCATGTTTGTTTTTACCTTAGTCATTTAAATTGTTTTTATTATTGTCTTAGGCTCTGGATCTGCAAACCGTGTCCCCACTGGAGGTGCAACTGGTTTGGTGCAGAGCCCTGTGCCTGATGTGGGCGATGCTGTGTCTGAAGAAAGTGTACCTCGTCCAGAGGGTGTGCAGCTGCCGGATCCTGCACAGGATGTTATTCCGAATCCTGTTGGTAATCCAGAAGTTGTGCAGCTGTCGGTTAATGCACAAGATGCTATTCCGAATCCTGGAGGTCATCCAGAAGGTGTGCAACTGGCGGTTCCTATACAGGGTGTTATTCTGAATCCTCTATCTCCCGGATCCTCTTTTTCTGGCGATGGTGCTTTTCGTATATTGTTAAGGCTACACAAGGTTAATATTTAGTATTTAATGTTATCTATACTCTCTTTAACTTGTCTATCTATATCTATCTATCTATATCTATCTATCTATCTATCTATCTATACTATATATTATGGCAATTCAAAACCAATCTCTTGCCACATAAGCACTTAGATTATCCACAATTTGCCAAGTTAGACAATTTTTTTACAAACAAAATAATTAGTTATTAAAGTATTTATGGAGCTACCTCTCCCTTCTTTAACATTTCCATTTCTTTTATCAAATTATTTCTTTTTATTTATCCGTTTATTCTTTAATAATAAGTTATATGTTGATAAACTCAACCAAACACATAAATAATAATTTTTTATCAAGTAAACAAAATATGAATAATATAACAGAGAGTGACATATATCACATTTGTTTAAATAAAAAATATCTGATTAAACTTTATGAAGTAAATTTTCTACTCATATTTACTAAAATTGAAAGATAAGTTAAATTTTGCTGAAAAAATTAAACAAACATACACATAAACAATAATGTTTTTATCGATTAAACAAAATATATATGAAAATATAGAAAATAAACATTTGACATTCAATTATCTTTGAAAATTAAACTATATTACTTTATATTTTGGGTAATGTCTATTTTTTATCCAAATCTTTTTCAGATTCTTTTATATTATCCAAACATATTAAAATTCTATTAGTTATCCAAATCTTTCAGAGTATAATCTATTGTTGCAATGAAACAATTCTTATTCGTAAAGTATATGTGTATAAAATAAAAAAGTATTATTTAGCAAAATTTCAGAGTATAATCTTGATCGAGTAGTTACATTTATTTATTTAAAAAAGACTTCTTATTCATTCAGATCATATTCTACCTTAAACTCCTCAAGTGAAGAGGAATTGCATGTGCAATAATTTTATAATGTGTCATATGTTCACATTAATAATATTTGTTCAATATCATGTTGATTGAACAAGCTCTATTGAGGTTCCAAGTCCTATGCTAAAAAAATTATTTCGGATTGGAGTTATCATCGACGATTATAAATCAAATTTTTCGAAATGACTTAAGTATGATTATTAACGAACTTTGACTTCATACCCTAGGATGAGACACATGTTTCCTTATCAATTATTGAAATGTGTGTGTATTGGAGACACTCTTTATCAATTATTAATATATAAGTGATAAAATCTTTGAAAATTACACATTCAACGATCATGTTAAGACCAAAATCCTCGATAGTGTGTGTAAGTGTCTAAGATTGAGATTCTAAACCAACATATAAACAATGACCACAGGTTGAGGTTTAGTCTAAACTTCAAGAATTAACAATTGATACATATTGTATAATACTAAATTTAAGTGTCTTGATAAAAAAAATTAACAACCAAAATGGAAATGAGTCGAGATTAGAGAATTTAATCATTATGAGGGCTACGGTGTGTGTCAAGTTTCAATATAGATAAATAAATTGATCCAATACCGAAGTATCTTTACTAAGAACATAATAAAAAAAAAACTTTACTAAGAATTTCTCACTAAAAAGTTCTAATCTTTACAACATTGGTCGAGAGTTCGTCCAAACTCGAGGATCATGAATGTGTATTGGATTTCCAAAGGACCTAAAATCTCAATCACTTTCGGGGGGCTAAATACCTATGATCACAACCATAGGTGCCAAAGAAGAATGAAAAGAAACCAAAAAATAGCAACATAGAACATAACCTCCAATGGTTGTCTGACGTTATGGGGATAAAAGCAGGATCTATATCACGGGGGTGGGGCATAGGCAAGCAGTACTCTTAATATGAGTATTTGGCGAGATAAGATAGGTCGGACGAAGTATCTGTATAATTTTGAGTCTACTATATACACACACAAATACATATATATATAAAATATCAACGTATACTATACTTTTGATTTTACTCAAGATACGATAGAAGATAGGTATGACGAAGTATGTGCATAAATTAGAGATTAGTGAATTAGGGACTGGAGTTCACCAAGTTAGGGTATAGTATCATGCCCCAAAAAACTCCGGTTAATTCGGGGTGTAAATAGTAAATCTCAATGGTCGTATGGCAGTGTGAACGCAAGAGTATAGCGTACTCTTGGCGCACGCTAGCTTGAACTATATAGATGTGGGTGTGTGTGTGGTTTAGGTTGGCGTACGCTAAATATTAGTGTTTTGGTTGACAAATTTCGACATAGGGATGTGACACGACATAATTTATTATTAGAAAATCAAAGCATCACAACTGAGTATGCTAAATATTGGAAATTTTCAATATAGACATACTTCAAACTTTGTTATGAATCAAGTACACAAAATAATTAGAAGATCCAAAATGATTTAAACATATAAATAAGTTAATTAATATAAATTATAAAATAAATCTCTCCGGCCAACGGGCCGGGTAAACAACTAGTTATCTTCTGTTATTTTTCAATGTGATAGTTAATTCTCTTGGTTGACAATTAAATTTATGATGAGGCAGTTAAAAAGAATGGGTAATTGCCACATTTGGTCACTGCGATTACTAAATCGTGTCATGTTTAGTCATTAGAAAAATTTAATATCAATTTTGGTAACTCGAATTACTGAAACATGTCACATTCAGTCACTCTCCCATTAGTTTCCATCCAACTCCAAGGACGGAAACTAAACGATGAAGCTAAAGATTGCGGGCTTTACGATGAGATTATGACCACGATCTTTCGGCCCACAACCATGATCTTGCCTTAGATTTCCAAGGCCTATAAATAGAAGAGCTACTGGATTGAGAAGGGAGAACCAACTTTGAGAGAGAAAATTAGGGTTTTGGGTAGTCTTTAGAGAGAGAAACACCTTGGAAGAGCTTAATTGATGTTGCAATCCACCCATGGATCAAGGCGAAGGTGCAAGAAAAGACAAGAAGATAGTCTTCAACACTTCCTCTCTTCTTAGTTGTGTTTTCTATATCTATATATGACTTGAATCCCTAATGTTGTGTAGGAAAGATGAACCCTAATTTTTAGTTTGTTTATGGGTCATGTGTATGAATGATTATGAACCTATAATCTATGTCTATTTGATGTTTGTGCATAAATCTCTTGCTTAGTGTGATTGATAGTAATTAGCCTAGGTAAGATTCTGCAGGCATGGTGTTGGAGGCCTCAATAAAGGTCTATGATGGTGTGGTGGATCCGTTGCTGGTGGATTTATTGGCGCTTCGAGATGCCATTGGTTGGTGTGTGTCTTGCGGTATCCGACAAGTGGTTTTTGCAAGGGATGCGAAAGTGGTGCTCGACAAAGTGGCAAATGGAGAACATCAAGATCTTCGTGGCGGAGCGGTCTTTGAAGAATTCATATGCTGCTCCAAAGTCTGCATTACTTTTCTATTCGCTTTGTAGGACGGTATGAGAATAGGGTTGCCCATTTGGTGGCTAGAAAAGCCCTCTCGTTGTTTCCTAGTTTGGTTGGCTTTGATTTTTCTTCCTGGCTGCGTGCGTCCGGGTGACTCTAGTGTAACTCTTTTGTCTCGGTAATACGAATTATCTTTCGACAAAAAAAAAAAAAAGAACTTCTAGGTTAAGGTTTGCATAGATACCACCTAGTGTGAGATTGTCTGTATCCCATTTGCTTAGTTGCAACTTAGATAGTAGGGGAGTATCATTATGTTACATATGAGTTTTTGGTGTGTTTGAGTTTACCTAGAGATTTTGTGCTTCATCTATGATTATTTATGCTTGGGCTTGCCTCTCCAACTCTTCTCTTCTAGCCTACCACTAAGTGTTTGAACAAGTTAGAAGTTTTTGAGTTAGACTGGATTTGAGCTCCTCAAGCTAATTAGGAGCAAATGAATGATTTCGGAGTCAGTTTCTGGATGAGGCGACTGTACCCCTGTTTATTAGATGTCCACGTAAGTAATGCATATGGGGTAACGTGCGTGACCATCGACTTGTCCAACTTGTATGCGGATGAATAGGATTTGTTTAGAGGTAGCGCATACCCATAGTTAGGTAACCCGGTTGAGGTGATATTGGACCGACTATCCTAACTAGGAGTGGGGCCGATTGCATTACCATTGAGTCGTTTCCCACCTTAGTGGCCTTCGCACCTCAAGACACCATTATTTTATCGAATGTTTCATCCTATAGCTATGTGTCTCAATTTTGTTTAAATTTTGTTTTAATCTCTCAAAATTATTATAATTAAATTAGAAACTAAAACAAAAATAAAAAACAATTTTTTTTTGAGAAACAAAAATTAAGCCTAGGCTTAATTTTTGTTTATCAATTTTTTATGTTTCTCAACTTTGTTTTAATTTTAATATTTTATTTAGTTATAATAATTTAGAGGGATTATGTGCAATTTAAGAATTTTTAAAGTTTATTTCTGCTGATTGGACAGTGATTTGGTGAGTTGACCGTTAGTCAACAACCTTGACTGTTAAAACTCACTGTCAATTCTCGGGTTTGGTCAAATTAGTAAAGTGTAGGATTATTTCGAGCCACGATGTTAAATAGCAAAATAATTGGCTAGAATGTTAAATATGAGAAAAGTTCAGGTAAGACAAATATATTAACCCTAATTAAAACACTATTAATGTCTACTTATAATAATTTTATTTATTAGACACTGATGCGTTAATGGCTTTATAGTGACTTAATACCGGTCCATACACCAGTTCGGTTCTGATAACACTGTGGATTTCAGAAGTTTCAAAAGAGAGAAGGCGCCTTTAGAAAGAAACTTGCAAGGATTTTT